AGCAGGATTGGTTTAATCAGAACACCACACAAATTGTTAAGCCTACTAAAGTTCAAAAATGACATTGTGGGCACTTATCTAGATGTAAAGTTTCGTAGATTATCTGATCAAATCAATCCTGTTGCTTAAAATATTGCTCTCATCCATAGCATTCAATTTATAAAAGATTTATTCGAATTTGTTGAAAACCCCAAAAAGTTATACCAAACTTTGTGACATAACATGCAGGACTAAATGATAAATTTTAAAATAGAATTTATCATTTAAAACCCGTTTAAAATAGAAATCATGCGCATAAAATTTAATTTAAACTAATGAAAAAAATTGTATAGTAAGAGAAAATAGCTATTTCTCTCCTTTAGCTAGTGCAAAAGGTTATTCGGCGGTTGGGAGCGAACCAGCAACTATAGTAGACAGGACTGATGTGTATAAACCGACTCTCCTCTAGAGGGTCGGTTTATTAGAAGGGGTCGTGTCCTTAGAGACAGTCGTTTATTTTTCGATACTGAAAATTAGAGATAGGGCAAACGGCAAAATCAAATATTTGATCAAATAATTTGAAACTTAAATGATATTTGTAAAAATTTAATTTTACCAAAAGTGATCAAACTATTATTTGATCAAATTATCTGAAAATTATTTGGTATTTGAAAAAATTTGATCAAAAAGTCAAATATATTATCAAATATCAATTTTTTAAATTTTGAAATAACATATAAATCGGGGTATATGCGAGTATATCGGGGATATTAGGCTATGGAGATGATATCGGAGGATTCATTTCCTTCATAAAGGAAAATGAAGTAATACAGGGATATGCAGCTTTTACCCTCTAGTCCATCAAATTCATCTATATTCCTACTAATTCCAAAATTCTGCCAAATCCGTCTTTATCCATTCAAATTACCCAATATCACTCTTAATCCCTCGATATCCTTCAAATATCATGATATCCTATTAATCATCCCATATCCATGATATAAAATTTGGTCATCTTTTGCAACCTATTTGTCATCTTTTGTTGATTTCTGGGTTTTAAATGTAAAAAACAAAATAAATTATGAGTTTTTCAAATATTATTAATTAATAAACAATTTAAGATGATTAAATATTGTGGAGCTAGAGGTTTTATTAAAAAACCAAAAGATGACAAAGGAAGCGCAAGTGGTCATGGCGGTGGACATTCTCATGGCACAGAACATGGAGGTGATTATGGTGGATACCACGGAAATTACTGAGGAAAATATTGACTAAGACGGTATTCAAAATTTCCATAAATTGTTTATTTGAATCAGAATTGCCAGATTTTTGAATTTTCTTGGTTAACCTATTTCTGGTTAATCATGTTGAGATTAAATGTTTGGGAAAGGGTAGCCTATATGTGAAGAAATCTTTAGACATTCTGAATAAATTATCGTTTATCAACCTATGTAGTGAGGCAAATATGGGGTGTGACGAATTCCGTTTAAAGACTGAGAGGCAAATCATAATTTAAGAGCTCCAAGTTGTATATTCACGAAAAAAAATGTTTAAAAATCTGGCAAAAATTTAAATGAGAAAATAGAAATTGATATTTTAAATGGGTGAGGGGCAGAACAAGGAATGACAAAACAAGGTTTACCAAATCACAGAATGACCAAAACACAGTACAGAGAAATAATTAATTCTTGGTTAAAAACCAAAATATTTTTAAAACTAAAATGCAGATTTTATCTCTGGACCATGTTTTGGTCGTTTTTTGATATGGATGTACCGTGTTATAGTAAGACCGTGTTTTGTCTGGTCCGTCTTTTGGTATGGTCCGTATTTTAGTCGCTCCGTGTTTATTCCGTTCCGTATTTTAGCCTGACATGTTTTAAATAGTGATGATTTGGAGAGTTAAAATCAGCTCACGGAGGTGGTTATGGCGGTGGACAATATTCTGACACAGAACATGGACGTGGTTATGATGGATACTTTGAAGATTACTGAGGAAATTATTGGCTAAGATGGCATTCGAAATTTCCAAGAATTGTTTATTTAAATCAGAATTGCCAGATTTTTGCATTTTCTTGGTTAACCTAATTCTGGTTAATCATGTTGAGATTAAATGTTTGGGAAAGGGTAGCCTATATGTGAAGAAATCTCTAGAAATTCTATAAAGATTATCGTTTATCAACCTATGTAGTGGGGCAAAATTTGGGTTGACAAATTCCGTTTAAAGACAGTTAGAGGTAAATCATAATTTAAGAGTCAAAGTTGTATATTCACGAAAAAAAACAAGTTTAAAAATCTGGCAAAAATTTAAATGAGAAAATAGGAAATGATATTTTAAATGGGTGAGGGGTAAAACAAGGAATGACAAAACATGGATCAGACAAAACAAGGTTTACCAAATCACGGAACAACCAAAACACGGGCCAGAGATATAATTAATTCTTGTTTACAAATCTGAATATTTTTAAAAATTAAACTGAAAATTTTATCTTTGGACCATGTTTAGGTCGTTCATTGTATCGGCATGAAAGCGTTCTGACTGGTATGGTCTGTATTTTAGTCGCTCTGTTGTTTGTCTTTTCCATGATTTGTCTGATCCGTGTTTTAGCCTGACAAGTTTTAAATAAATATTTATGCTTTGCAATTTTAAAATATCATTGTTTCTATTTCAAATTTAAATTTTCTGAACAAATCCATTCATTTAAAAAATCTCCAGTATATTACTGGTATTTAAAGTGTTCAATGAGGCCGATTTAGCGGTCTTGGTAGGAAACACTAAATGTAGTTTTTAGCTTTATTTTCTGATATTTATCATTAAATTGTTTGTTTTTTTATTGAACAAATTTCGATAAATTGAAGAAATTGTGTTTTTAATTTTATTTTAATCTATCAAAGTAATTCAATTGAGTCCTCATATGTATATAGCGGAAAAATCTGATGGAAATCAAAATCTAATGCCAAATGTGTAAACTAAAAATATATATATATTGGAAATAATTTAATTTTGGAAAAAAATTTATTTATTTTCCTTATTTCTTTTTTAATCTACAGCCTTATAACATTTCAAATCTGCCGATATCGACCTCAAACACTGTGGGCCCTCGATATAACCCAAATCCTTGACATTCCATTAACAGATTTATTTTTCACCGTCATAGGCGATTATTGAAACTTTTTTGAGACAAAGAAGCAAAGCAATTACACATCTTTACTAATTTTCTAATCAACAATAGATAAGCAAATAAAGGCATAAGTAAATAAAAAAAGTCAATTGCATAAGTAAATAATGCTAAGTGAATAAAGGGATTTTTGTATAAAGGACGGTTACAGGATTAGGGATTTGAGAAGAGGGTTTTTAACACCGCAGGCGAAAATTATAGAATTTATAGGGTAGCGCTGAACACGAAAATTTTAGAAATTTTAACACTAAACAAAAAATCTTGCATTGTTTTTTATGCTACGCTTACATAAAAATCGCGCGCGACACGCGACAAAAAAGATAATGGAAAAAGAGGCAGGAAATGATAACATGGCAGGAAATGATATTTCCTTCATTTTTCTTTCAAAAATAATAAGGGAAAAGTAAATTGGGAGAAAACTTTTAAATTTTATTCATTAATTTCTCCCAAAAAATGACATTTTTTGAGGGTATAAAACCCCAATAACCCCGAAACTTTTCGGGTCGGGGTACGGGGTTTTCAAATTGTTTCGAGGCAGGGTTCGGGTCGGGTAGAATCGTGAAAAAATCGTTCGGGAACAGGGTCGGGGTCAATTGTGGTAAAATTAAATTATAAACTAAGATCAAAAGTGCTTAGAAATTTTCAAAATTCTCCTTTTGTATTAGTCATGGAAAATAAGAAAAATAAAATAAATTGAAATTTTTCAGAAAATATCACTTTTTTAAAATCAATATTAACCTGTAAATTTTAAATTTAAAAATTTAAAATTTATATTGATCGATAGTGAATAAACTGAACTTTCCGAATCTTCTTAAATTTTGGAAATCGGATCAGAATTGATCGAGAAATAGTATACCAAACTTCTTAAAAAAGTTGGGTACTAATTTAGTCCCCGGTAAATGTCCAGCTCGCATTCTACCTTCTGCAAATGCTGTCCGCAAAGGCATTCTGTAAAAGGCATTTTTGCTGCATTCTCCTCCTTTTCTTCTTTCCTTTAATTTCCTAAGAGTCATCAAATGATTGGTTGACAGCTTGGCGTAATTTTTTGTGGCGTCGTTCATGAAAATGTTTAATTTACAAATAATTTAATAAAAATTAAAAAATATAAATTAGTGATGGAGTTGTAGATCAGGGGAGCTGTGTCGAATGAGACCTCGTCGAGCTGTGTCGAATGAGACCAAAATCAACGAAATCGGACGATGATTTGACAAAGTTATGACATTATTTAGACTTACCGGAGGCAACGACTTATGTCATAACTTTGACAAATCAAGTCGGATTTCGTTGATTTTGGTCTCATTCGACTCAACTCGACGAGCTCTTTCGAATGAGCTATTATTTGTATAGATTTTCGTCTTTATGATTTTGTGCCCCTGTGGTTTAGGGGTCTGTATTTCGGTCAAATCAAGTCGGATTTTGTTGATGTTGGTGTCATTCGACTCAGCTCGATGGGTTCTACAATTGTTGTTCAGACTGACCATTTTTACATATTTTTCGAAAAAACTGACTGGAGGGGGGGGGGGGGGGAAACTAAACTAGTACCAAAAGTTGTCGCGCATAAATGCTAATAAATCATATTAAATTCAAGTTTTATTCGTCAAACAAACAACTTTTTCATTATAAAAATTTAAATTTAATTTTAGACAAATAAAGAAACCCAAGTCAATAATATTAAAAATTAAGACATTGTTATGAATTTTATTTAAATTTTAACCTAAATTTCATTTTAAAATTAAAAAAATACTTCCTCTTCACTTTTTTCATTGAAACATTATTTCATTTAATTATTAAAAACCGGTTAAAATCACAACAATATTTATTCGTTTCAACCAGTTATTTTGGCAACTCTTGAGGCAATTGAAGACTATAAAAGCCTAGTATGTGCACTATTAGAAATTCAATAAAAATATATTTCCTCTTAATAATAATATAAAAAATGAAGTTCCAATCGCTGATTATTCCTACAATTTTTATCGTGTTAGTTGTATTATTTTATGTTCAAGCTGAAGAGGTTGGTGAAGTGGTGAGTATTATTTCAAAATTTCCGATTTCCGGGAGCCGGGAAGGCTCGTTCCCTAGTATGTAGATTGTGGCCATAGCCGACAATTATCTGGTCTTCATTAAAAATATTGAAAATCTTGGATCAGATTGGAATTGTTTGAAATGTCTAAAAGCTGCAAGTCGGAAAAACGTCGAAACTTAAAAATTGGAATTCTGATCAACTCCTTTTACCACATTTATTTAAGCTATTATAAATTTGATAGGAACGCTTTGCAAAAACATTATATTAGTCAGAAAAAAAAATAAATTAGATATTTACTTTAGAAGAAATATACCTAAATTAGATATATTTAATAATTGGATATTTTTCTAGGAAGTAGAAGCAATTGCACAAGGAGGTGGAGGCAAGCGAATTCAACGCCGATTTTCATGTTATGCTGCTTGCGCTGGACATTGTCGAGCATATTATGGCTACTCCAGTTACACAGACTGCTGTGAATGTTATTCTCGTTACGGGTAGAGTTGCACAAATTAAATGAAATAATGTTTCAATGAAAAAAGTGAAGAGGAAGTATTTTTTTAATTTTAAAATGAAATTTAGGTTAAAATTTAAATAAAATTCATAACAATGTCTTAATTTTTAATATTATTGACTTGGGTTTCTTTATTTGTCTAAAATTAAATTTAAATTTTTATAATGAAAAAGTTGTTTATTTGACGAATAAAACTTGAATTTAATATGATTTATTAGCTGTTATGCGCGACACGCGACAATCGCGAGGCTGCAAGTCGCGACTGTTTCAAAACTAAAAAGATCATAAAATCGTTTAAGCCGTTATATCATTGTACTTTTCCCACACCCACTACGCCAATCTATTGCAACCGTCAATGAAAAATGAATTAGAAATGAATTAGGCGATCAAAAATTGGAAGATCTACATAGTAGTTCTAAAAAGGCAACCAATAAATCCTCATGAAAATTTAAAATTAAAATCATTTTTCAAAAACTTAATTTTTGTTTTGTTTGGTAAAACAAAACTTGGATTTTTGGTAGAAAAGACGAAATAAATGTAATATACATATGTACATACATATATAGTATTTTTAGACTTGCGTGTTAAAAATTCAATAATTTTTAATTACTCAAATCATTTTTGATCTATTTATAATTTCGATTTAATATTTTAAATTTAAATTATTTTCTGTTCGCCAACTTAAATTTCAAAAAACCGGTTTAAATATTAAAAATTTAATCATTTAAAATAGTTTTTTTTGGTATTTCTTGCAAAAATCTAAATATAAAAGGCCGAAGGATCTGATAATTATATCACAAAAATATTCCTAAGGCATTTAACTTGAGATAGATTTCAATTGAATAAAAGATGAATTCTCAATCTTTGATTATTCTTTCCATTCTTTTTGCGTTTGTGATGTTATTTACTGTTGAATCGGTGACAGGTGAATTGGTAAGCATTTATAGAGTTTATAATAGTGAAGCAATGCTACTAGGTAAGAGATCTAACGATCTGTTATTATCCATTACAGCGCTGCCTCCTGCTTATCATTAAGAATTAAACAGCTATATTAATTAATTATTTATCAAATTAATTTGTAAATAATTAAATAGTAATTATAATATTTCATCATAATAATATAGTATCTTATTAAAGTAGTAGGTATGGGTCTGAGGTTCCCTTGGAGTAGTATGAATCCTTGACAAAAAAGGTAACTCTGTTTGAGCGGTTCCACAAGTTGGTGGTAAACGTATTAACGTTGATTTGATTTTTATATTATGCTGTTGCTTAGAGACTTGTATACCATATCCATAGGGATGGCAAGGATACCATAAAATATCTTCCTTTACGTTCATATATTGACTAGTTAAATCCTACACATTTTATTAAAATTCATAAATTGAAGGATGCCGTCGAGCTCATGACTCATCATTTGCAAAAACGCCACTGCTTTTGCGGTCATTCGCATGTGCCTTGTGCTTGTGATGAACTTAACACTGAAATGACGGTTAGTTTTTGTGGTCAATTATACACAATTTTGTATCACGATCAAGATTAAGTTTGGGGGTTTCGAGTCAGGCCGACGTTCGCGTCACTTTCCGAGCCTCATTTTAATATGGCCAACCCGCCAGTCTTTTTCTAACAAAAATTTAATGCCCGACACGATCTTTCGGACCGGACCGGGTCCCCACCATAGTTACAATTCTAGAATCTGCCATCAAAAACAGATTGACATTATTTTCAGCAGCATTTACAAAACTCTAGTGTTGGGATTGGGTTCCGAAGCCTTTCGAGGATTATACAAATTCTACTTTTTAAATAACTTTATTTACATCTAACTATTTACAAATTAAAATATATACATTAGGGAGGGAAAAGGGGACAATTACAAGAGTCTGGCCAGACCTGATAAAAACACTTCTAATTAGATATGAATGACCATTTTGGATGAGTATTTATAGGGGACATTAATAAGTCGAGATTGGCGTAAACAAGTGAATAACAAATATTAAGATAAGGGTCGGGAATTGTGATAGACTCTGATAACGGTCGGGATTCCTTTTAATATAGAAAGAGGTCAAAATATATGTGCCTGTGAATGCACGTGAATGCAACATTTATTTTTAGTTTGTTTATTTGATTAGGAGGAATACAGCATTCCTTCCCCCTTCGAAAAGAACGTCCACGTTCTACTTTTCGGGAAATTTGCTAAGGCTGCCTTTTTAATTAACTGCTTTTCTTTAAACTAACTTTCTCCGATTAAACGGGTGGCACAATAATTTTCCTTTAATAAGGGTAATTTAGGATTATTTTAAAATATTTTTTTAATTTAAATTCTCAAGACATTATTTTTATTTCTCATCGTACAATTATGAACGACGGTTTTTAAAAATATATTTCCTGACTTTTTTTTTAATTTTATATTTTTTCTGACCGAGCTTTATCATTAAAATTTTGATATTTTTTTGTATTATATTTTAAATTTAGTATTGTTTCTCGCCTTTGTGACGCAGCGGATTTATTTTTACTACATTTAAGTAATTATTATAAAGGCTTTAATTCTCTTTCTAATGTATTTTTTGTTTACTTCTTTTAGCTCCATGATTGGGTTTTTTCATAATTTTTTTTTGCCAAGTTCTCCGACGAATTAAGTAAACACGGATGAGGATAGAAATATTACATTACAGAACTAATGATTATTTAGGGGATATTTTACATAGGTACAGAAAATTTTGGGAAAATAAACTGAAAACAGTTGAGTGGAAGTATGCTGGGTCCATTCTAAAACTAAACCTAGGCACATAACCATTATATTCCCTAAGGATAACTGTTGGGTTGGCCAGACCCTAGTTATCACCTTTACCAAGCCACACCGGTGTGCTTTCCTAGGGGCACATATATACACAAAGACTGACTAACTGGGAACTGATTTATCGGTGAAACAATAAACAATATATAAACATAAGCATGTGAATGGGAGGTGACACAGGAAATGAAGATAAATAATAATTAAAGTGTAATGGTTGGGAAAATCCATTAATGCATAATGCTCGCCCAAAAGATCACCTTTGCTTAGGCAATCAACGGATATACCTTACACCTCCCTTGCCCACCTAGACCGTCCCTGGTCGTCTTTAAATGTTAGGGTGCCCCTTCTCCCATCATTTAAATGAAACATGGCATTTTTAATATGGACTTTTTTGAGACAACTCTTTCCATTTACATTATCACGTACTTAATTTGAAGACTGCCGAAGCCTCTTCACATACTGCATAATGGCCAAAGCCTGAACAAGTTAACCTCTCAGGCCTCTTTGTTCTATAGCGCATAGTTGACCCTTTGGGTACATTTTTTTGTGCTGAATCTAGCCGAAGCCATTCAGTTTTATTCTTATCTATAACTTGATCTATGGAAAGAGTTGTTTTAACTGTTATCTGAGATACCATGTTTCATTTATTTGATTTCTTAAAATTCCAGAAAGTTTTCTATCCCATAAGAATTTAAATATTCCTTAAATTGCCCAAGCGGTACTCATCTACATGATTTGGAATCGAGCATTATGTGATGGGTATTCATGATTGAAAATTACAATGAAATAAGTAATTGAGTATACAATATTTAAAGTGGGGATAATTTAAAATAAAATTTAACAATGTATAAAAGGAAAGGAGATGAAATAAATTAAATGTATGTAAAATAATTTGAATGGATAACTTAAACAATGCATAAAATAAAATAACTAAACATTTAAAATTAAATAAAATAAACCCATTTATTAGCCTAAGCCACCTTAATCCACTCTCTTCCTTATTTTTGACCGTCCCTGGTCAATTTAATATAATATTTGGGAGGATGTTTAAAATATAAAAAAAAATAAATTCGGTACTACCTAAGTATATTGAAAAAAATAGATTTTGTGAGGGCGGATTTTAAATATATGTGAGGGTTGGTAGGAATAATAATTGTTGTAAATTTATGTGTGAGTATTATGAAAAATAAGGATTCTCTCCAGTTTTTCCATTGTACTCATACAGATCTAGATCAATTATTAAATCCATAGCTAAGTTTTGTGATAAAATTTGCTAGGCACTAAAAGTTAACTCCTAAAAATAAAGATATTACCTCTGACGAGATTAATATCCAGTTTTTTTTTGAGAGATATTTTTAGTACCAAGGAAATCTTATATTCTATCGGGGATAAGTTAAATTAATAATAAGAGGAATTCAAAAAAAATATATCAGGTGACAATAAAAAAAATTTTTTTTTAACTTTCATCTTTGTAGCCAAGGCCAAAACCATTAAATTTCAATCCATTACATTCCAATCGCCATCCAAATGGTCCATATTGACATGAAAAATAAGAGTATTAGATGTATTTATATATTTATTAAACTTTAACCAGAACTTTACCCAATACACAAGATCATAAATTACGCAAGTTGCTTGTAGGGTTGCCGAAGCATCATCGTATTATCTGAATTTGAAATAGTTAGTATAATAAAATGGATTATTTTATATTTAAGCTTAGCCCTTTTTTAACTTCCTTTTATCTGTGTTTCGAGCTTAGATGATTGTTTAATTGTTAACCGAATATTGTTTCTGAAAGTAAAAATCTTTGATTATTATATTTCTTTTAAAATTTCTTTGGACTAAATTTATGAACGCAAGGCCAAAACTTATTTTACAAAAAGCTTATAAACTATTAGGAACCCAATACTTATATTATTCTTATAAAATTTTACATGTATGCTAAATAGAGGCGCTTTATGATTAACAGAGTAAGCCCAATAATACATACACAACTTTATATGTTTCGAAAAAATTATTTTTAATAACCCAGAAACCGGCCTAAACCCTAATTAAATAATCCTTCCAGTATGAAAAAATAGCACTAACAAAAATAGATAAAAGTTTATAAAACCAAATATTTACAGAACTTTTTTTTGAAAAAAAAAATAATTATTAAATACATTAGGTTTAATTATTAAAAATATTTTTATTTTATTTTCTTAAGTGAATCTAAACAAGTTAAATGTATTTAAATTACAAATGCCACGACATAAAAAATGTTTAAATGTAAAAATACATAGTATTTCACTAAACTAATTGAAGTTTAGTTTTGCCTTTCTTAAACGAAAAATAGAATCTGACCAAACTAGTTTTTTAAGTTCAATTAAAATTTTACTTTTGATTTTTCTTTTGTGATTTTCAGCTTAATATTGAAGTAAAAAAAAAGGATTGAATAAGATTAAATAAGATTTGGATTAAAGCGGAAGGTTTTTTTTAAAGAATTCCACAACGAATACATGGTAAAAGCACTGAAACAAACATATCAATTTCCACTATTATATAGGGAGTTTATAGATAAGAAATCGTAGCTTTTTTTGGAGTAGAGTTCGAGCTTAACTAAAATGAATAGACATACTAGAGAATTTAAATGATGAGTCAATGAAATCAAATCACAAAAAAATCACCAGCCTTAAAATCAAGCTCTGTCAAAATCGCTTGTCTTCTTTTAAATCTTTTAACCATTGAAAAAAATTAACCCAGAAAATTTGCCTAAACATTTTGGATTTTGTTTTGATAATCTATGTTACTTCTAATCTTCAGCCCGTTGTTTAAATGCGATTTATTTTTATTCTAAAATTAACTTTACAGTGCTGAGTCAGATTTTATTTTTTCCTTAATTAATCATTTACACAGAAAGTAACATTATACTTTGTCTTCAGTCTCCAATTAGATAAGGGAGCATTAGGAAGAATTTTAGACATTAGGAGGGATTATAACAAATTAAGCACAAACTTGTTTTTAATGAGAAGATGCAAAATAAATGGGGCGCGATATGCGATAGTACGACTAATATTTGTAAAATAGATTTGGACATGCATTTATTGCAAAATTAAAGCAAAAATAAAATTTTAATAACCCTAAAAGATTTTAAGGACTTTTAAAGACCCCCTGTGATTACTAGAAATAAAATTTAGTGAAAAAAAACTTTTAGTTAATAAGAGTAAATGAATTAAAAAAAGCTAATGAATTTAAAGAAAAGCTAAACATGTAAAGAACAAGTATCAGATTCCGCTCAAAAATTGTTCTATAACTTGATGTGATTATTAAAAAGGTTTACAGTTCATAAACAATTAAAGGAAGCAAATATTTTAATTATTCCTTCATAGAAATACAATAATAAAATTGTTTAATCATTTGATGAATTTATAGTGTGGAAAACCACAATAACACATTTTCAGAATGTAGATCCTTCACATTCTACAACAATTTTGATGGTAATTTTCAGAATTCAACCCAGATAAAAGGCCTAAACCACACGCCAAGTCATTACAAGCAGTATAGAAGAAATGGAGGAGCAAAAATAAAACGCTAATAAAACAAATATTGACAGATTTTAATTCAAAATATTAGACAAGTTTAAAAATATATCTTTATGAGACAGAGATGGTAGTAAAGAAATAACTCAAACGTAGGAAAGCTTTAAGATAAAAGTGTTGTTAAGGTCTAATTGAATGGAAATATTTTAACCTTGATTTTTTTGAAAAAAGTATAATTTGCTTATAAAAATCCTCTAATTGAGTCTTAACTTTACTTTGAAAGAGAAAAAATTTTTTGGATCTTCAATTCAATACAAAGTATACTTTTGCCTCTTTTTTGGCTCCCTATCTTTACTAAAATAAAGGTCATAATTTTTAGGATTTCGATTAAATGATAAAAACCTTCCTAAAATAATTACGGAGTAGTTGCCAAAGCAATAAAACAAACATTTCCATTTTCACAACTATCAGTTATATTAAAACAATAATTCAGTTTAATGACAAGACAAGAAAATTTTCTTTAAAAAAAATAGAAAGCTCGGGCTTAATTTAACTGGATGATCATTAAAAAAATTAAATTAGAAAAATAAATTTAATGAAATTTTAATTTTTCTTAATAGGAAAAATGCATTAAATTTCAGGAAAAAGAAAAATTATTTTCATAAAATTTTAAATGTGTGCTAAGTGGAACCGCTTTATGATTAGCAGAGTAAACCAAATAATACATATACAGCTTTTTCAGTTTTTGAAATAACTATTTTTTTTATAACCCAGAGACCGGCCTAAACCCTATTAAAATAACGATCCCCATCTTAAAGAGATGAATAAAACAAATGTATAATTTTAAAATAATAATTTAGACTGCAATGAAATTAAAAGTGTCAAAAATATTTAAAAGATGTACCAGGGATGCACATTTTATAGAAAACTATAATAGGATGCCAAAAAATTGAAACATATGTAAAAATTGTTTGCTAGTTATTTACAAAAACTACAAATAATTAATTTTTTGCCTACAAATAGTTCATTTTTTGGAATTAAATACAAATTATACTTTGTGATTTTTTTGCTCACTTTTTATAAAAAAAAAAAACTCAAAGATTGGATAAAATGACTTACAATTAGATTTAAATTAAAGTGAAACTTTCTTTTTTTAAGGAAAAATTCCATAATAGATTATCAAAGCATTAAAATAAGAAAATGTAGCTATTTTCAATATTATATAAGTAGTTTATTATTTAGGAACGAGTGTTATACATATATTTTATTGTTAATTAAGGCGTTTATTGTAAAGTAATCATAGCTGTTTTTAGAGCGTTTTTGAGCTTTGGATAGTCATACTAGTACTGATAGGATAGTTAATAAGTATAGGGAATTAATTGTGTGTATTTGTGAAAAAGACAATAATATTAATAGCCAAGTTAATTTTGTCAGATGTCTTTTTTGGATATTTTAATTATCAAATCAGAAAAATTAGCCCAGAGAGGTTGCCTAGACATTTTAGATACAACTGGTTCGAGATAATAATAGTATAAGGACAAGTTAATAATAGTATAAGGACATGTTAGCTAATAAGGACAAGTTAAGCTTAATTATATTTTTATAGAGAAAATCAGACGGGGGCGTACAACGATATTATTAGTAATTTGTAAGTTAGATTTAGATTTGGTAGAGCACAATTAATATTAATCTCAAAAAGAAAAATTGATGGACCTTTAAAAAAATTAAAGACTACACCTAAAAATTTGGGATGCATTTCTGATAGGAATATTTAATATCCATTTAAAATACTATAAATATTTATAAACTATTAGTAGAATTTATTAGTAACCACTTATATTTAATGTTGTAAATGCCTTATAATCATAATTATTAAGTTGAAGAGATCCCTATCATTCCTGAGAATTTACCTCTTTTTTTAGTTTTGCAAAATTATTATACTATGTTTTTCTTGTAGTATGTTTTCTAAAAATTAAACACAATTTGGTTGCCTTAAATTACAAAACTCCAGCTGGAATGTAACACAATAGTGTTGAATTTTAAGGAATAAATAATTAGTGGAAAAGTTGCTTAGATGCATAACTAGTTATGTTTTGTATTTTTCCTAATTTATCAAAAATAGGAAAATATGAATTTTTATTTTACTTTAAAAACGGTAATTAAATTCGAAAATTGTGTATGATGTTTTACTATTTTCTGAAAGTAAAGTTCGCGAATGGAATATATTTTTTCGGAATAGGTATAAGAAAATTAATTTACAATTAATATTATGAAAATTATTAATTGTATACTTAATCTTGAATCCAGAAGTGATTTAAAATTATTGTTGCACAAAAATATTAAAGAAAATTTCAAATGTAAATTTTTTGAATAAAAACAAAAAAATCCTAGTGTATGACGAATCAAAATAAAGATATTGACCATCTTGGTGAAATAGAACAAGGAAAAAATAATGAAAGCTATTTAGAAGGGACATTTAAAAATTTGAATTTATTTTAGTGTTTTTATCAATGTGAGGTAATACTGCTAATCTATGAATGATTATTTAGTAATCAATTTAACATTATTTAACAATCATAAAAGAGGATTTTTTTTAAATAGAGGATAAAACCATATGATTTTCTTACAAAACTTTACAAGAACATAAGAAATTAAGAGCATAAATTTACTAAATAGAACTTAGATTTTGTTCTGATTTGAAATAATATCAAATAATTTGATGAAGCGTGATTATATTTCATACCGTTCAACCGTCCAAATTTTTAGAATAATTTGTGTTTATCTTAGATGATTCCTTTTATATCCATTGTCTGGCCGAAATCCTTAGACAAATAATTGAAACATAGAGAAACAGTGAATTTTGCCTCAGTCTAATTGGACTCAGAAAATCATAAGAAGGAATAGATTAATAATTTTTAGGTGGATTTGAATGACAAACTCAGGCCAGAGATAAGAAAATTGGAGGATCTGTTAGAGGCATTTGTATGAACAAAAAGAAAAATAGGTGAAGAAAAAAAAATAAATAATAGCATGATTTTGGTTTGAATAGGTTTAATTTTCCTGGGTCTGAATTATAATAATAATTACGTATGCAAAATAATAATTAAAAGTAATTTATTTTATAATCCAGAAATTACAGACATTCTAAAGGAATTTAAATTTTTCTATTAAACCTTTTTCAGGCTAAATTTACATTTTAAAATGAGTTATGTCCTTTAGATCACCTAAGTTCAATGACCATCAAACAAATATGTAGGTATTTGAGTATGATATAGCTGTTGATTAAATAATTGTCCAAAAAAAACAATTTTGAGATAATTTAAAATAAGTTGCATACAAGATGACAAAATCAAAAATAAAGATATTTATGACGATTTAGTTTTTTTAAATAATATTAAAGAAATTATTGTAATTCTGAAAGTATTTCCAAATACTATATTAAAAAAATCATTTAAAAAAATAGTAAGAAATAACATATAAAAAAATCTTATTAGTAATTAAGAAAAACTTATGAAAAAAAAATAATTTTAAACCGGTTTATAGCCTAAGCCTTGATAAGCAACTATTGGGATTTAATAGAAATTTTTTTTTTTTTTTAGGAAAGCTTAACACAAAATAGAATTTCAATGCTCAAAAATTAAAATGCACTGAAAATTTTTAGTTTTATAATTTCAAATAACATTTAAGGATTTACAAATATTATAAATATACATATAGAATATTGTCAAAAACAAAAATAAAAAGTTATGACTGAGAAACATGCATTTATTTCTTAATTCTTAATTTGTATAAAGAACTCTATTCATTAATTCGCAAAACACATTTTGATTGGATAGTTAGAGATTTTCCGCTAGAATTTGTTTGACATTTATCTAGCATTCAATGAAAATTATCTCTTTCATTTTTTTAAGTTATATGTTTTGCGATTTTTGGGCATAACAGGAAAACAAAGAAAATAAATCCTTATTAAATTCCTAAAATTGTTACACAGAAAATTATTTTAGAATTTGATACATATCATTCTAGTATCATACATATCATTCTATGCAACTAAATAAATAACCATGAACATGCCGAAACATTCAAGAACTTATTAGAAAAATAAATATGCTTAACGTGTTTAAGTATATCTGAAGTGTTCACGAGTTTTTTTTTTAATTACTATACCAGAGAATATAACAGAAAAAGTTCCTAAACCTATATGTACTATTCCATAATTGGCATATTTATGGCTTTTAAATTTCCAGTAATATATGTGACTTACAGTACAATTACAGGTATTACAGGTTGCCCAAATTGTAACTTAAACAATAAATGTTTTGGAAATTTGATTCAGAAAAGGCCTAAGCATTAAATAACAAGTAAATTAGTTATTCATAAAATAACAACTAGAATAACAACTAGACATTTGCTTTATTATCAATAAAGCTTGTGTATTTCTTTAGTCTTGGAATAAGTATTCAAAGGTCATTAATGAATGAAGGATTAACTACATTAAGAAAATTTAGATTAAGTTAAATTTAGATTAAATTATTGTATAGAGAAAATTTAAGATATGTAACATTTTATAAAGTGAAAAGAAGATTAAGAGTTTTTGTGGAAAAAAAATTATTTTAAGTAATTAAATAGATACTGAAAACCTTCCCATTATTAAAAAAAAAACCAATATTCGCCTATTAAATTCATTTCAAACCTATGATCAAATTACCCATATTAAAAATTTTTTAGTCAACTTTAAAACAAACTATTATTTTTTGCTTTCACTGATAATATTCTTGATTTTTTTAAATTTAACTCCATCTGCCCATAGAGAAAATTATTCAAAAGCGCCTAAGTTTTTAACTTCACAAGAATAATTTATTTTAAAAATTTGCAAGTTTTTATCGCAAAAAAATTGCATTGGTCATCTTAAAATCTTTAACTTTTTTGTTACTAGTGCAGCATATTGGCGTTTTAAATCAAGTGAGCGGAAATATGTTAGAATATACCTAACCTTCCGAAGAAAAGTCTCTTTTAAAAGCTATCTAGATTTGAGTGGTAGAATGTTATCTTTCATTGGTTTGTTTAGACAGTAAATCAAATTTAAAGCACCTAGTTTATAAGCTTGTTTCCTCGAAAAAAAAATCCAGAAAAAAATCTTAGCCCACAAAAAAATCCTAATCAGTTGTAGAGATTAGTTTAACACAAAGAAATAACACTACTTGTACTATTTATATCCATAAAATATTTCAAAAAAAAAATTTTTTTTTCAATGCTTCAAGAAATAACCATTAATTTTAATAGGGAAAAAAATTATTGAATTCTTAAATTCTAATTTAACCATAATTAGACTTGATTATACTTAAAATTAAAGCGATTTTATTGTTGTCTATGCAAAAGAATCAGAATATTGTAAAAACATTTTGAGAAAAAAAAAACTATTTAAAGTCTTTTTAAATCTCCTAGGTCAATTCAAAAAAAGGTCAACAGAACAATTGTTTTACACTATAACAGATACCCATTTTGTTCCCTAAGGATTGTTGATAACAACTCAAAATTATATTAAAAACATTATTTTCCGAAGCATTTAAAAATTTTAACTAGTTTTTCTTTAAAAAGAAAATTTTTTTTTTGTTTTTATGAAACTTTGCTTTATAAGAGATGAAATGAAATTAGCTCTTTTCATTTAGTGAGAAGAAAAAAAACTAAAAGCACGAATACGAAAGATTAAGAATATTATTGTTTGCTTTTCATTGGTATACGTAAAAAAACTTAAATTCAGAAGGACTTGCCTAGTCTCTAAAAGTTTAGAATAAGCCATTAATAAGCATGTGATTTTTTCAACAAAATTTAAAGTAAAAATTCCTTTAGTTACTTAATTATGCATGTTAAATACTTTAATAAATTGAAGGCCTGTCTATTAATTACGATTATGAAAAAAAAATATATATAAATAATGCGTCAACCGAAAATA